GGCACTGAGGAATCCCCATTTACATGTGGTTCTTCCGCTTTAACTGAAGACATACCACTAATGAGGTCATCCACCTGATAGTTTTCTGTGGTAGAGGTCACCTCAACTTTTGAATGCATCACTTCCTCCCATACAGAAGATTTAGAATCAACAGCTATTTCAGTGGTTTGACTCTGGTTGTGAAGAAACATCACTAAGTGGCTGAGTGCTAGCTTGAGAGTCTGATGTAGATGCAAGTCAGTTCTTGGCTCAGACTGGGATTCAGAAGCAATAATACGAGATCATGAAGTCAGTCATGCTAATGCTCATCTCTCCATCACCAAAATTCTTAGCTTCATCTGAAGGTTTTTTTGCTTCAGCCTGTATGAATAAGAATTATAAAGTGTAAATATTATAAAAGCAAAAGCAAGAATATGAATACAGTGGTCCCTCGGTTAACGAGCACAATTCGTTCCAGAAGGTTGCTCGTTAACCGAAAAATTTGTTAACCAAAACCATTGTTTCAATGGGTTTTTGGGTAATTGGTTCCAGCTCACTGAAAATTACATACAAACGAAAAATAAATGCAGAAAAGTACACTTACTTTGAGGTGTGCATGGAGAAGGCTCCTGGTTGATGATGATGATTATGGGAATTAGAATGGGGGTGGAGGAGAAGGGAGAAGAGAAGGCATTGGGGTGGAAGAGAAGTCACCCCATGCTGCCATTTCACCCATAAAATTTTAGTTCACTTGGTGTAATTCAAGATTATTTTCTTTAAATCAATACTGCACTGCGCTATATATTATCAATATGTAAAATATATTTCAAAATGACTAATAATTTGACTGGAAACAGAAAAAAAGCGTTTATGTTGAAGAGTCTCAAACAAGATGTTCCTTCCTCTGAACCTGTAAACAAACTGACGCCAAGCTTGGTGTGTTGAGTGGCTGTTTGGCGCGCATAAAACTAGTTTCCTGTACTTCAATTATGTTCAATAATTGTTAAAATGACTAAAAAATTTAATATAAAACTTTTAAAATGATTGAATAGTACAACCTTCTTGATATTTACTAAAATGGTAAGGAATTTCAGTCCTAGAACCGATTAATGTATTGGCGGACTAATGCAACAGCTAGTGAGCAAGCGAAAACATGTTGAGGGGCGCTCGTAAGGAATTTGTTAATCGAGGGATTGCTCGTTAACCGAAGTGAAGAATCTTATGGAAGGTAATTCGTTAACCGAGGCGCTCGTTAACCGAGGGATCACTGTACAGTATCATGTCATATTACCACAAGTATTGTCTGTACCGTTATATCATTTCACATACTTGTTGCTAACATATATATATATATATATATATATAGGAAGAAATTTTCATTGTCAATTGTTTCACATATACGACATCTGTATCATCTACTGTTTTTTATTGTCTGTGTGTACCAGAATATAACATACCTGTATACAGTATATATAGTGTTAAAATCATCTGAGTGGCAGAGCCGCGATTCCACTGTCAACTACACTACATTATCTCTTAGGTGTGTGTGTGTGTGTGTAGGAGGAGGGGGTCTCTCTCTCCAGGACAAACATTATCACTTTCATGTGGGAGTCCCCACACTATACATCAACTACACTACGTATAAATTTTTGGTGCCCCTCTCTTTCTCCAATACTGCAGTGTTTACTATTAGGGGTTACACACTTGGGATTGGGATGGACTAACCCTCAAAATCACCCTCTAGGGGTGCATGTGCATCTTCACATTAAATTTCAGCTATATCTTCTAAACTGTAACCAGAGATCACACGGACATACAAACAGACCTCGCACAAATATATAAACTAATAAGAGTGATGTCAAACTCACCTTTGTTGGAGTATTTGATCCCCCTTTCCCGCGAGTCTTGGCCATTATAGAGGCCACACGACTTTTACGAGCTTGACGTTCTTTTTCCTCTCGTCTCAGATGTTCCTCTGTTTCTATACGTTTTTGCTGTTCTAAAGGTTCAGCCTGGAAAATTCAATATTTTTACAACTTATAATAGCATGAAAATAACATTACTGTATGAAACCACTTCCCACTGGATGCCATTGCAAGCTTTTAAGTGAAGGTGAGTTTTTGCTGATTCCATATTGCTCTTGAAATGTACCGTGTCTGTATATTCCCTGGATAAACAATTTAGTGATAAGTGTAACTGCCTCTTCTCTCTGTTTTTCTTCTTCCTCTTTCCTCTTTGCTTCTTCTTCACGGTTTTGATCAGCTACTTCTATAGCTTTACTACACTCAGTCAATTACCCCCAACACTGATTTGACATTATTTTGCATGTGACAATAGATTGAAGTATATTTCCTCCTGAATTACATTATGAATGACCTTTAGTACTGAAATTTGTGGTTAATTAATTTTTGTATGTACCATAGTCAATACTGTACTGTGAAGAAGTAGTCTTAAAACCTTTAACTATTTATTTGCAGTGATTATCTAAACATGAAGAAAAGGCTACAATGTTGGTGATCATTAAAACAACATAAAGCTGATAGTTTACAGTAAGTCCTCGTTTAACGTTGCCCCCGACATCAATGTTTCGTTATAACGTTGCTACTCTTTAGATACCAATAATTCGGACAACGTCCCGCTGATTCGGTGTAACGTTGTCATGGACTACTTTGTACGGCGCATCACCCTCTCTCACCCAGTAGGAGCGGGAGGAGCCACCCACCCTCCTTCTCTCCACTACCCACCACACTCGCTCTACCTCCGCCTATCATTGAGTACAATACAAAATGATTTAGTTTATTTATATACAGTTGTCCCTCAGCTAACGAACACAATTCGTTCCAGAAGGTCGTTCGTTAACCGAAACCATTGTTTCAATGGGATTTCGGGTAATTGGTTCCAGCTCACCAAAAATTACATACAAACTAAAAATAAATGCAGTAAAGTACACTTACTTTGAGGTGTGCATGTAGAAAGCTCCTGGTTGATGTTGTTGATGATGATGATGATGATGATGGGAATTAGAAGTGTGGGTGGAGGAGAAGGGAGAAGAGAAGGCAGTGGGGGTGGAAGAGAAGTCACCCCATGCTTCATCCCGCCATTTCACCCATAAAATTTTAAGTTCACTTGGTGTAATTCAAGATTATTTTCTTTAAATCAACACTGCACTGCACTATATATTGTCAATATGTAAAATAAATTTCAGAATGACCAATAATTGTACTGTAAAAACGTAAAAATAGTTTATGTTCAAGAGTGTCTCAAGCAAGATGCTTCCTCCACTGAGCAGACACAAACTGACGCCATTCTGGGCGAGTCAAGTGGCTGTTTGGTGTGCTAAAAACTAGTTCCCTGTACATCAATTATGTTAAATAATTGTTAAAATGACTAAAAATTTTAATATAAGACTTGGAAAAGTATTGAATAGTACAACCTTCTTGATATTTACTCAAATGGTAATGAATTTAAGCCCAAAAAACGATTACTGTAATGGCGGACTAATACTCCAGCTGGTGATTTCATTAACCGAATTTTTGTTCGTTAATCGAGTTGAAGATTCTTATGGAAGGTAATTTGTTAACCGAAATTTTGTTAACCAAGGCGTTCGTTAACTGAAGGATCACTGTATATACTATTTTCTATAAAAATTCCATTGAATTTATGAACATGTAATGTATTTTATGGGGCAAAGGGAGGCTGAGGAACGTAAATCCTGTACCTGTATTTTATTTATTTATGGGGAAAATTGATTCCGTTAATGTCGTGGTTTTCAGGAAAGGAACCACGATGTTAAGCGAGGACTTGCTGTATTACTTATTTAAGAATTTTCTAGAATGTATGTAAAGGCCACTTATAGGCTTTACTGTGTGACTGACTCACCCACCTCCCTCCCTCTCTCTCATGTGACGTTACAGCACACACACACATCTCGGCCAACTGGTTGACTGCCTGGCTGAACTGTAGTGTCACTTAGATGATGGTTTGAGTGTGGAAGGAGCTATTTTTTGTACATAAAATATGTGCTATTGTATTTTATAATATCCTATGTATCAATTTTATCGTTTACCATAGCAATTTTTGTTTAAAAAGCGGTTATACTGCTACAGGTGTCAGACATGTGAATAAATGACTCCGTTGCTTTTGGATTGTTGGACTAAATTAGAATTTTTACCAAAGTGGACAAAGTTGGGATACCTGGAACATTAAGATAGTTGGAATTCGGATAAAATGAATTGAACTGTAAATTAAATAAAGTCTATGACATTGGGTTTACAGTAATAGTGGAAACATTCTGCCTACAGAGGCTGGCCTGATATGAATGGGGAAGGTTGTTGGGTATTACTGGATTAGTACTGCAGGCACCAAATTTTACCAGGGAGTGCTGAATATTAATTCTGGTGCCCTAGATATTCTGTGGTGCAATGTATAGTACTTTATACCCAAAATATTGGGGTGCTACAGCTCCCTCCCTTCCCACTTCCATGTACTGGGTGGAGTGAGCCAGTACACACCCGACCACAACAACAACACCACCACCAGACTGGTGGCCAAGCATGGAGTACAGTGCGTTGAGTATTACCCATGTGGCCAAATATGTCAAGAATTTCCCAGATAATATTATGTAACTTGGCATTTCTCGAGTTATTTCATAATAAATTCTGAGACCATACATGTGCCGAATTATATGAAACTCTGAGATATCGAATGCCAAGTTATCGAGGGTTTACTATCTAAGCTGTCATTGAGGCAGTCATGCCTTTGGGACACACTTTCCCTATTAACAATACTGTACAGTAACTTAACTGAAAATAAAGTATTTAATGGTTGGATTGCAGTTTTACACTCCGCATAGTTCTATAGTTAACTCATTTTGTCATATCCATACATTCATTAGAAGAAAAAAAAATTCACATTGTGGTATAGAGGGTGCAAGGAGTCATTAACTTTGTCAAGGTAAGTTGTTTGTAGTAGTTCATTACTTTCAGGTCAAATGGTATTAATATGGTTAATAATAATTACAGTTACACTCACTTTATTGGTCTTTTTATTAACTCCTTTATATCCAATATAATGACTGGCAGAGTAAGCTGTGCTGGCCATCTAAAGCAGCCACCGGCAGTTTACTCGAGACACACACAGTAGGAACAGTAAGCTATGATCTAAATCACATAAGTAATCTTTCATGACCTGGCTCTGGTGCAGACTGTACTGTATACAGAAGAATCTAATGATGGATTCATGACTCATGTTTTCCAAGTCAACTTAAATGCATAAATATACTGAAGTTTCTGCACACACAGCCTATAGACAGACTTATTAAGCCATGAGGTACACAGTTCTAACAAATTCTACCTGTACAAATATTTACATACAAAAAATGATTTTTACATACCATTATTCTTTGGAAGGGCAATAATTAAAAAAAGTTTGTAACATGACCCAAGACATGTGTAGTAATATTGTAACATGCTGCTGATGACCCGGCAACAGATAATTGGTTCTCCACAGCAGTCTTGGGCATGCATCATCAGAGGCCAGATAAAAGATACTAAACTATTTTGGTGATGAATGAATACTATGATGATGATAATATCAATTTGGAGTTTACCTGCAAATTAAATGCTCCAAGAAAAACAAATGAAACAATGAAAGTAATGCATTGGAATTCTAGAATATTAAGCTTCATCTATTGGCAGCTGCTGCTTATGGGTTGTATATTGTCACTGCACCAGACACTGGTGGGAATGTCATCAATATTGACAAAATTATTAATAAAGGCAAACTGGCAACAGGTTTCACTGACACTCAATTATGCAATCAGAATTATCCTGGTAAACATTCCACCAGTAAACAACTAAAATGAATTCAGATACTGTATTGCCCACAAGATTGAAATTACTATCTTTTGCTCATGAAACACTGTCAAGTATGTTCAACCACTATCTACGAGTCCCTTACTATATGTGTGAAGTGGCTAAATGCGCAACAGACTGACCTTCAAACGAAGTTGTTTTCAATGCTGGCAATTGCAGCTTAGTTGGTTGGTGAATTATTGGAAATGTGAGATCCTGAGGTCATTTTTAACACTGTCCTGCAATACACCACCAATCCTCACTAAACTAGTCTTACCTCATACAAAATATTTACTGTTCTCACTGGTTTACTATACAGTACCTACAGTAACACTGTAATCTTATAACTGTGTGTGCTCCTTGGAAAATTATCATTGTAGGTATTCAACTTAAAAAGTGTTTTATGCTAACTACCCAAATGAAATTCATTTCAATGAGATTGATGGCCATATATACATGAATATACTGAATTTATTAAAAGTGTTTGACTAAGAGGACTGGCAGTACTGTATAACACATTTTGTAAGTCTACAAACAAAAACAAATAAAATTAAAAACAAAACTTGGTTTGTACTCAGTATTCATGGATTTCAAAATGCTGTATTATACCCAAGCAAAACAGCATCACTTTACCCAACTTGAAATAAATATTACTTGCTTTGCGATGTAAAGCATAAATTATATCTCTATAACATAACTGTTACACATTCCACATAAACTAGAAAATACCATTAAAATATTTAAGATGAACAGTATGCAAAGTTGTGCTTTCTTGTACAGCCACAAACTAAGGTAAGTTTAACAGGATATAAATGCAACACAACCGTAGAAGTATATAATTTTCCATTTATCTGATATGAGCACAATTTATGTGATTGTAATGAAAATTTTGCAGCCTGTTACTGTACTGGAAGCAAGTGTAAATGCTGGAATCATTCAAAATGATGCCACAGGAGTGCAGCGGCTTGTCACAGTATACAGTCAAGGAGACATGCCAGACTTGAACTATTAGTAGGTAACCTGAAGGCATCGTGATATAACTTGTGGACTCAGAAGACAATACATCATAATATCAACAGCTCTCAAAAATCAAAGGTTAGTTTATCTCTTAACTACCTATGACAACCACAACTACTGTACAAAGTAATCTTTTCTATATTTCAAACTTTTTAAATAAACCACCATGAATGCAAGAAAATACCGAGACGATTTTTATTTTCTGAAACGGGATGTTAAAATGGTAATGGGGTGCTTCATCCAATGCTGAATCAAACAAATTTGTACATTAAACCCAAGACCCTTTTTTTTACTATGATGAAATGTGTTCAGTTTCAGTGGTTAAATCTTGTGCCTTTGGTCACAATTTGTATACTGTATTGTCTGAATGTCCAGTCCACTAGTTACGACTATTTTTTGTGCAAGACTTAATGCACAATGAAACAGGAAGCCTTGCTCATGCACTACTTCTCATAAAAAAATTACAATTCATATGAACATTCAGTCATAAGATGAAAAAAATGTTGGTGAGAAAATATGTTTTCAGGAGCACTATGGAATCAAGGCAAATGCACCTCCATACCAAAATATCTCTACTCTAAATTACAATACCTAAGACTAGATGTCTTTTACACATGGGAACATCATCCTTCTATTCATTCTCTCATTAATCATGTAGAAAATGTAAGCTATAAAGCAGCATGTAAAGAAGTACCATTACTGTATAAGAAATGAAAGACACCACAGACAAATTACGAAAATTATTCTGTACACAATAGGGTAGACTCACTATGGGACCCCCTCATTTAGAAAACTAGCTATACACTGTACATAAAGCAGTTGTCTGGGAAAGCAGCACAGAGTTGCCCTTAAGCATTTAACATAGGCTAGTGGCAACAGCAGCAGTAGGACACAAAGTTCCTTTCACACAAACTGGCTACGTTAACCACTGGTTTGTGGGGGCAGCGCACCTATCAGATTTTTACTGCTTATCATTTCCAGGACGAATGCATCACTTACACCTAACAATGTCTTTTATGAAAATACATTAAATGCATTGATGTGTTTTCAGTGTGAAGTCAGTATCTTTTAACAATAGTTCTGCATTTTCACATTTACATTACATAAGGTTCAGTGACGATAATGCACACAATTATAACAACATATTTCACTTTTCACTTCACCTCAGTATTACCATTAACTTTCACTCTCAATTTAAAATCATAAATTTTCTATTTTTATGTTTATGTATGGTTGTCAGTATAACAGTAATCTCATTGTTTTCTTTGATATTTACAGTGTGCTGTATGCATGAGAACCTGGCAGTAGTTCCATATATTATCTCATAAGAGTGCACCACTTAAAATTAGAAATAATGTCTTTGTCACAACTGAATAAAATAGATCAAAAATCACTCAAACTGGAGGGATGTCTGCTGCTTGTGGTGTGTCCTCCATACCCTCAGGTGGGACTCTGATGGTGCCATTACCTGTTAATGTTGCATGTCCATTGGAGGGCACCTGACCATTTGCACAGGTACTGGGAGGTGTACTAACTGTGGGTAAAGGAGGGGCTGATGGGGTAGCTGGGGGGGATGTTATAGGGAGGGGTGAGGGAGGGGCTTTAGGTGCTATCGGTGCTATTGGTGTAATGGTAGTGACAGGGGGCATGGCAATGATTGGGTCATTGAGGCCAGCCATGTCACTACTGCTGCCACTATGACTCCCATCACTTGCTATGAAGGACTCCATTGCTCGGTAAACAAACAATATATCATCCTGAAAAAAAAAAAACAGAATAAATAAAAAAAACATCAATAATGCTTTCTGAAATAGTGAAATGGGTGTGTGGAAAAATTCAATATGCAAATAGAGGTTAAGTTAGAGTTGGGGCTATAATCAGAAAATTTTATCATATTTGATCTCTACATTGGTTTATAAAAAATAATTGTTGTGAAACTTTGATCTGGGATGTAATGCAATGTGAAAGTTTGGGTTTGCAAAAGGGAAGATTATCAGTGACATGAAAAAATGACTCATAAATGGTGTATGAATTTTCTTCTTGCTCATGATTCAGGCAACTCATGAGAACTTTAGCGACTTTTCTTGAAGCCCAACATGTTTTAAAAATTTGACAACTAACTTTGTTAATGGCTTTTAAAACAATTAGGAGTATGGACATCAAAGAAAGAGCAGGATGCATCAATGACTAGAGAGCATGCCATCCAGTGCTTTTTTGGGGGGGAAGGATGTACAGTACTGCAAAGTTGGATGAAGCAACAAAGATAAACCAGATTGTTGTTTGGAATTTTGTTGTGAAAAGGGAATATCATAGAACAAATCCATTACAGCTGTAAGCATGAATGAAAGTGAAGAAGACTGTGTTTTCTCTTAATCTTGGCTACCCTGTACAGTACAACAGCAGGAAAATTCTTGGAGTGAAAAAAAAACTTTCAATTGGAGTTGTAATTAAAAAAAGTAAAGCTAACTAATTCAGTTAATAAAAGATAAAGTGCTAGAAGTTCTTTATGGAACCTTTGAGTGACAGATGTTAACTCCCCATTCCTTTTCATAATTTTTACTAACCGAATTTAAATTCTGTTCCTTTATCCTTCCAACCTTCCTGTCTATGTATACCTGTAGACAACTTCCACACTTTTCATCTATGTGACAGGTAAACAAGCTAAATTCTTTTCTCTATAAGGTCCTGAACATGTGAAGGTGGTGGACTGTCAATGGGAAAAGATCTATATGAGGCTACTTTCTGAAGAGTAGTTACTACAGGGAATGAGATGTTAACACATAAATGCCATACACATTCTACAACTTTTAATGCCAAAAATTTATTATCTTTACTTGTGACCTCACTTCCCATGAAAAAATATGAAACACGTACTACAATATACAGTAAACCCTCGAAAGTCCGGACAATTGGGGGAATGGGTCCTGCCCTGCCAATTGTCTGGACTTTTACCAAGTGGGGGTTCTGGGGCCACTGGGTCACTGTGCAACGAAGCAACAACCCGCTAGCCCCACGGGTGACCATCAAGTATGTATTTTAATATGCAATAAATGTCATGTGTGGTTTACATTTTTCTTTATACAATACAGTATATACAGTATATATACAGATAGAGTATATATGTACAGTTCATCAAAAAATAATTCATTTTTTATAAACTATATTACCTCATTTGTTATTAAACTATATACTGTATTGTCTTTAATGGGAATACTGTACAGTGGTCTAATCAGAGCTACTGTAATAGGTATTAGATGATAAGTGGCGAAGGGGAGAGGCAGAGATGGGCGGCATAGATAAGATGGTTGTTTATGCACTGGGATCTAGGCAGCAGTGCAATCTGGTCCTGTCTGTGTGACTGAGCACCCCTTTCAAGGAGCCAATCTGCTCACCCCACATGAGGAGGGGGGCTAGAAAAGGTGCCCTAAACATAGCCTGCCTAAAGAACCAACCTGACTGGGTGACCGCACCCAGTAAGGTCATCCTTATGCAGTTGAAAACACAATCATAATCATAGATCTAAACAAAAACAAACTGTACAACCTCTTATGGTCACTGCATGGAATGTCAGGACCCTTCTGGATACTGGCAAAAAGGGCATCCTGAAAGAAGAACCACCCTTATGGCAAAAGAGCTGGCTAGGTATAACATCGATATAGCAGCCATCAGTGAGTCCCGGCTCCCAGACGAGGGCCAACTCACAGAACGGGGGTCTGGCTATACCTTCTTCTGGAAGGGTAAGCCTGCTGCGAAGAGAAACCGCATTTATGGATTTGGCTTTGCCATCCGCCAATGCATCCTACACAGGCTAACTAAAATGCCTGTTGGGATCAACAAGCGCCTTATGAAGCTCCGAGTCCCACTGAATCTCTCACGTAATGCCTTCATCAGTGCATACGCCCCAGAGAAGATAAGGTTGTGCTCCTAGGTCACATCAATGCCAGAGTTGGAAGAGATGCCGACATATGGCAGGGAACCATAGGGAGAAACAGAGTAGGAAAGTGTAATCCCAATGGCCAACTCCTCCTCAGCAAGTGTGCTGCACACAACCTCACTATCACCAATACCTTGTTTAGGCAGGCCGACAAGTTCAAGGGTTTGTGGCAACACCCACGATCCAAACACTGGCATATCATTGACTACGTCATTGTCAGAGAAAGAGATTGCCGAGATGTCTTCATCACCCGAGCCATGCGTGGCTCAGACCATTGGCTCGTCAGAACCAAACTCAAACTTCACGTCACCCCAAAATGACAAAGGCAACAAGCCTCGCGAAGAGGCTTTAGCACAAAGCATCTGGAGAATCCAACAGAAGCACATGCTTTCAGAGAGCAGCTTGAACATAGGCTGATAAACAACCTGACAATAAACAACCCAAATCCCAGTGCCCGATGGGATATCCTCAACACTGTCATGACATAAAAACCTGCAAAGAGACCCTCGGCCAGATCGAAAGAATACACCAGGACTGGGTTGATGAAAATGACCAGGAAATCAACGTATTAACCAATGATAAATGTAATGCTTTAACCGATTGGCAGAACAACCCTCAGTCTCGGATCAAAGCTGATACCTTTCACAAGAAGAAAGCGGTGGCCCAGCACTAACTTCGCAATCTAAAGAACAAATGGTTGAAAAATAAAGCATGTGAAATGCAAAAACTTGCAGATCAACACAAGATGTGCAAATTTTTCAATTCCACTACAAAATTTTATGGGCCAATCAATCATGGCACGTCTCACCTCTGCTCATCTGACGGTAACTCCCTATTAAAGATGAAGAAGGCATCCTTCAGTGTTGGAAAGAGCACTGCCATCTCAACCGAAACACCAATGTAGATGTCCTGACTACCCAGCAAATCCCTCGGCACCCAGAGCTGACCCACCTCAGCTATCCTCCATCCCTGGATGAGGTAACTACTGCCATCAAACAGATGCAAATTAACAGTCGCAGGGCCTGATGGAATCCCAGCCGAGGTGTATAAAGCAGGAGGACCTCTGCTTATCAGCCGTCTCCACTCTCTCCTGGAGAATTTATGGGAAAAAGAGGAAATCCCCCAAGCTCTTAAAGACACCTCCAATATTTATAAGAACAAGGGAGACCAGCCAGACTGTTGCAACTACCGCGGGATGTCGCTGCTGTCCATAGCTGGTACGATTATTGCCCGAGTCCTCTTAAACAGACTTCTTCCTAAGGCAGAAAACTTCCTCCCAGAATCTCAATGTGGCTTTAGACCATCACATGGCACCACTGACATGATCTTTGCTGCCCGCCAGATACAGGAAAAGTGCAGAGAACAGTGTCGTGACCAGTACATGGCCTTCATCGACCTAGCCAAGGCCTTCGACTCGGTCAACAGGGAAGCCCTCTGGTGGACCCTCAGCCGTTTTGGCTATTCACCAAAATTCATCGCCATTGTGATGCAACTACACAATGGTATGAACAGCAGTGTCCTGTACAATGGCACCTAGTCTAAGTTCTTCCCCATCTAAATGGGGGTAAACCAAGGATGTGTACTGGCACCAACTCTCTCTTCCATTTTCTTGGCTGCCTTCCTTACTCGTGCCAGTGCCAATTTAGCCGGCAGGGAAGATATCCAGTACCAGATGAAGGGACTTTTCAACAGAAGACGACTCCAGGCTAGAACAAAGATGTTGGCAGCTTCCATTACTGAACTTCAACATGCAGACGACCTCACCCTCGTCGTTCACACTGAATGTGACCTTCAGGAGATTCTGAACACCTACGCAGATGCGTATGTACACTTAAGCCTTGAGGTAAATGAACGTAAGACTCGGATTTTCTTTCAGCCTGCCCTTGGTTCAACCACACCTCCACCATCCATTCAGCTTAACGGTACTACCCTCTCTAATGTTAACCCACTTTCAGTATCTCGGCTCCCACCTGTCCACCACTGAGGATATTGATGAAGAGATTCAACATTGGATAAGATGTGCATTTCAGGCCTTTGGCAGACTCCGTACCCATGCCTTCAGCTGTAGGGAGCTGAATTTATTTACAAAGTTACACGTATATTGAGCAGTGGTCCTCCCCATCCTGCTTTGTGGCAGCGAGACATGGGTCACCATACAGGAGGCACCTGAAAACTTTCACCAATGTAGTCTACATTCTATCCTCAGAGTTTGCTGGGAACACAAGAGAACAAATGCAAGTCTTCTCGCTGACACCAACTATGGGAGCATCGAGGCTACCATTATCCACGAACAACTATGTTGCACTGGCCATGTTACCCGCATGGACGACAGTAGACTGTCAAAGCAGCTACTTTACAGTCACCTAACGAATAGTAAACATAATGCTGGCGAGCAATTGAAAAGTTATAAGGATAGTCTTAAGACAAACCTGAAAAAGTGCCAAATCGACCGCTCACCTGGGATATGACTACTCAACACCATAACGCTTGAAGGAGCACCACACAAGAAGGTGTCAATACAGTAAGATTTCATATTTCGTGCGATTTCATTTTGCGCTTTTGAATTTCGCGAGCACTATCTAATGTAACCAAGTCTTATATTTGGCGTAAAATAACGTGAATTTCGCGAGATCCAGCAAGCTGAATGCTGGCCACCTTCTTGAATGATGTCACAACCCTTATACCATTTAGTCATATCTGCTACAACACGTGTTTTGTCAACGCTAATTGGTTGTAAGGAGATTGATGAACAGGGGAAAGCTGTTTGTAAAACGCAAACTTTTGCATACGAATGTTGGTTATAACCCGATTCCATCCTCAACG